CATCTAATCGTTGCATGTGAAGCGTAGCCGCCCAATATCAAGAATTGATTTGCCCGAACACTTTCACATTCATCAATATACAATCCCAAATACTCACTTCTCTATACCTCTCCCCCTCTCTCTCTCTCTCTCTCTCTCTCTCTCTCCTTCTATCTCTATCTGCATGTCCAGAAACGAAGAGATCCATATCTTTAGCGATATATGGAGAACTTAAAGATACGTACTTTCTTTGAAAATAATATATATTAGTAGCCTATGTTACTTTAAATGTGTCGGAATTTTAGGTATTTAGTTATTTCTTTGCTTTGTCATTAATATTGTAGGACATGTAATAAAGCACACACCGTTTTGACCAACAACTATTTTATAATTTATTTTTTTAATATGTATAAATAATATAAAAAATATATAGGCGTATAATTCACGTGAAAAGCGTACCCATGGCTAGTGATATATAATACCTTTCATACTTCGTACGATTAAATACTTAAATAGTTTCAGTGCTATGAATTGATTAATTTACTTTTTGAAAAATTCGATATGCAGATATGCATAAACATTGAAGAGGGTTGCTGTTTTTCAATAACTTTGCATAAAGTGATCTAGTCAATACTAGACGTCATAACATATCTAATGCTTTACAAATCAGAGTGAACTTAAGCAGACACCTTTACAACTTTGAGAACAGACTGGTTTAGATTGGTAGCGGTCAGCAAACAGGATACGTGTTACTTTTGTATAAATACAAACACTACAGAAGCGGTAAATAATATTTTTCAAGAAATCTCAATTCAGATGAGCAATGAATTCGGTGGAGTAGTGTCCCGTGATAAAAACACAGCACGGTGCGTTTTTATTTAATGACGTTAATTTTTTCAAGAAAATCAGAAGGTTTATTTTGTGTAAATTTTCTTAAGTACACTGACGTTTTGAATATACAGGATACTATGGTGATAGAAGTAATAATAGAAATTGAATGTGTCATGTAGGCCTACAGTTTTTATTGGATAATTTTATAAAATAGGATAACCTGCGATTTGAGTTAAAATCTTAACATCCTTTAACCTAGAGCAATGAAACAGGAGTAATTAAGTAAATTAGAGCACCCTATGCTGATAAATGAATAAAGCCATTGTGTAGAAAGGGTGTTTACGGTCGATGGGTTACAAAGATACAAATATACATTTCCCCTTTAATCGCTAATCATCAAATCGTTGCATGTGAAGATAAGCCCCCAATATCAAGAATTGATTTGCCCGAACACTTTCACATTCATCTTGTTTTATACATGGCACTCTGAAAAAATCAATATGCAATGAGGCTGAAAGCCTAATATATAAAATCACAAATACTCACTTCCCTCTTTCCCTCCCCCCCTCTCTCTCTCTCTCTCTCTCTCTCTCTCTCTCTTTCTATCTTTATCTGCATGTCCAGAGCCGAAGAGATCCATATCTTTAGCGATATATGGAGAACTTTAAGAAACGTACTTTCTTTGAAAATAATATATATTGGTAGCCTATGTTACTTTAAATGTGTCGGAATTTTAGCTATTTAGTTATTTCTTTGCTTTGTCATTAATATTGTTGGGCATGTAATAAAGCACACACCGTTTTGACCAACAACTATTTTATAATTTATTTTTTTAATAAGTATAAATAAAATAAAAAATATATAGGCGTATAATTCACGTGAAAAGGGCACTACGATTAAATACTAAAATAGTTTCAGTGCTATGAATTGATTAATTTACTTTTTGAAAGATTCGATATGCATGAAAATTTATGAGGGTTGCTGTTTTTCAATAACTTTGCATAAAGGTACCTAGACAATATTCGACGTTATAACATATCTAATGCTTTACAAATCAGAGTGAACTTAAGCAGACACCTTTACAACTTTGAGAACAGACTGGTTTTCATTGGTAGCGGTCAGCAAACAGGATACGTGTTACTTTTGTATAAATACAAACACTACAGAAGCGGTAAATAATATTTTTCAAGAAATCTCAATTCAGATGAGCGATGAATTCGGTGGAGTAGTGTCCCATGATGAAAACACAACCCGGATGGGTTTTTTTTAGTGACCCCAATTACCTACACGTAATTAGTTTGGTAATTAACGGTAAGAAGTCCGGTAACTGAGCTATGACTTTCGGTTGGTGATCGTGTATTGAACACGCATCCAGGCTGTTCGATCACAAAACGTGTACACGTGCTAATAGCCTTTCCCGTGCAGCACACATATACCGTTTGATAGAACATACAATCTTGTATCATACATGATAGCACATAAACAAAACTATTAAAAAATAAAACTAATTAACATAGAGAAATCGTGATAGCTGAAAGAAAAATTTCTTTAAGTTTTTAAATACGGCAGTGCTTTTAGCATCAATAAATTAGCTCAAGATATAGCATATGCGACAAATTGATTACATTTATTTGTGAATAGCTTTTAGTTCATACACCAAGGTGATCTAAATAACAAAAAGCTGTAAGGTAAATTGACATTCGTAGCATCTGTCTTTCTACGGTTTAAAACTACAAAGTGTAAGTTCTACAATTGAATTTCAGTCAACTTGACAGCGATATAATATGAGCATCACTATGTAGGCCTATAGTGAAAGGTCATAGGATTAATGTTAAAACTTCTGCAAGCAAGGTATATCTATACTTTACACAGTGCAGAATAAAGCCACTCGTCCGTACCAAATAAACTGATGATCAACATTAACTGGAAACCAAGGCAAAACTAAATGTATAATATAGTTCAATGGCGTCACTAGGACGGGTGTCATCTAATGCGCTGAGGGTGTCACCCCATCCAGTAATTGAAGGTGTCACCCCATGCAGTAACTGAGGGCGTCACCCCATGCATTAACTGAGGGTGTCACCCCATACAGTAACTGAGGGTGTCACCCCATGCAGTAACTAAGGGTGTCACACCCCACCATCCTCTGAAATTTTGAATTTTCGACCCAATGTCACCTCTCTACCCTAGTATTTTATAATATATTTCGATGTGGTATCACCCCTAAATGGTGTCACTCCCTAAATGGTGTCACCCCCTAAATTTTTTCACCACCTGCACTCACCCTGTGACGCTACTGTTACGACTCCGCATACACTGCTGGTCTGTGCTTGATTACCTTATATCCGCTATAGTGATACCAACAATCACTTCCTTGCCGTGCTACATTTTTGACCAAGCTCCTTTCAACGAGTGCTTTTATTTGTAAATTAAGCAAAACTTTATATTATATTTTTTTTCCATACAAATATTTCTTAGCACCAAAAGCTCTCTCAACTTTTGTCAGTTTCCTGCAATATTCCTGGCAGTCCCCCATAACAGTCCTCCATCTGCCAGCTGCTTCCCCGCCGTGCGCCTCCACGTCTACCCTGGCTCGCCAAACAAATCAAAACAGGAGACCTCAAGTAAAAAGAAAGAAGGGAAGGCCAAGGGTAGAAGATTTAATTAACATAAATCTATCGTTCGATTTAAATACAATCGTCGACTGACAAAGTTACAACGTTATACTTTACTCTCAGTTTTATTTTTTACATTTTCGAAAAAAAAAATAATCGTTGTATATTATAAAATCTGCAGCTCCTAAATTGAATTATATCAATTTTGCCCTATTCATTATGCCTTCTTATCTAATATTTTAAAATTATTTTGCATATATTATAATTTATTATCTCAATATAATTACTGTTCTGTGAATCCACGCCCAAGCATAAAACAATATATTGTCCATTTGTCTGAGGTAATCCACATTTAGTCTGATCCACATCAGCAAGGTGACGAATATGGTTGGTATTGTCACTGACTAACTACAGTAGATCTCACAACAACAGATTTTTATTTCTTACAGCATTGGCTCACCTTGTCTTCCCACACGCCAATACTAATCTTATTTATCACATTAAAGCTCGTATGTTTTCAACATACTATTACAAGTTGTTTCAACAATGGATTTTTGTCCAAGGTATTTTGGATGGAGATTGCAAGTAAAAATGTTTGTTTAAACCAGTAGTTCTCAAACTTTTTGGAGGTACCAAACCCCACCAGTTTCAAATTCTCATTCACCGAACTCTTTATCGTCCGGACTGACAAATCCCAATCGCAAATCATGAGTCGTGTGTGTGTTTTGACCTCTTCCGGATCCCTGAAACTGACTCACTGAATCCTCCTAATTCAATCCTTCCCCCCTATAGGTACTAAAGCTATAGTCCACTTAAACGGTCATTTATCTTTCTCACCCTTTCTTTCACCGTCACATTCAATTCAATACAACAATTAACTACACTAACATTCTCTTTGTGTTAAAAAAATATTTTAGTTGCATTTTTATTTCATTTTATTATAGGTTTAAAAAAAATTGTTAAATCGTTTTGAAGGTTAAACAGGGCGATCTAAAAGTAAAAATCAAATATGTATGAGTATTAAATATATATATATATATATATATATATATATATATATATATATATATATATATATATATATATATATATATATATATATATATATATATATATATATATGTCTATATATATATATATATATATACATATATATATATATATATACATTTATACATAAATACACACATAATAATATGCCTATATATATATAGGTATTTATTTATATGTATATATAAAATATTCGATTGCAAATTGAGTTGTTAATTAAAATGGTTCCGTCGCTGCATTGTTTATTGCAAAACATTTGAACATCTGTTACAAAAAGCAAAAAATAAAATACTTAAAAAAAACTTTTTAAAAAACCACGTTTTTCTTGTAGACTAAAAAGTAGAAAATAACTATTTACATACATTTGATGACAAAAAACGTGGGTACGTTCACCATCAAATTTCCCGACCCATCTGCCCGACCCACGTTTTTTGTCATCAAATGTATGTAAATAGTTATTTTCTACTTTTTAGTCTACAAGAAAAACGTGGTTTTTTAAAAAGTTTTTTTTAAGTATTTTATTTTCTCCTTTTTAGTCCGTTGCTACACATGAAAAACGTGGTTTTTAAAAAAGTGTTTATAAATACACGGACTAAAAATCTTGAGCGACCAGGATTCGAACCTGGGTTGTCGCGGCCACAACGCGAAGTACTAACAACTATACGATCACGGCCAGCGCGCTCACATCGTTTGGGGCCGAAGTAACTGTGTCATTAGGACTCCAGTCTTGTCGGTATCTTTAGAAATCATGTCCTCAATTTTATGGTCCTTGGGGCGTAATTAAATTAAGCTAATTACGGTCACTAATTGCTAGTTTTTATGATTGCATCTGAAATTGTTAGGCGAAAGTAGCATGCATGCCAAATTTCAGGTCTCTAGAGCAATCAGAAGTGGGCTAATTTTCGATGTCAATTTTAACAACAAACATCCAAACAAACAAACGCGAAGCTGAGTTAAGAAAAACGTTTTAAAAAATAATTAGCTTTTCGTGTCAAAGACGAACTTAAAGAATTTTCGGAAATTTTTGCAGGCAGTGCTAAATGTTTTTTTCAATACCCCTTTGCCATGGCTGCCTCCAGCTCGATTTAGATTGTGGTAATCGTAGGTGACGTCTGGATTAACAAACTCCCACTGGTTGTCAAACAGCTGGTTACAATGTGCAGGGATCGATGTATGCGCCCCAAGCTGTCCATGGCTGGGGGCCCCATAGTGTCCTTGGCTATGGGCCACATACTGTACTTGGCTGGGGGCCACATACTGTCCTTGGCTGGGGGCCACATACTGTCCTTGGCTATGGACCACATACTGTACTTGGCTGGGGGCTCCATGCTGTCCTTGGCTGGGGGCCCAATACTGTCCATGGCTGGGGGCTCCATACTGTCTTTGGCTTTGGGCCACATACTGTACTTGGCTGGGGGCCCCTTGATATCCTGGGCTGTAAGCACCGTAGCTGTTATTACCATCGTGAGCCACCTTTGGATAAACTAGAGGCGAGGTAGCATTCAGCGGGTCAGTAAATGATCCTGAAATCCGGATGTTGTGATTTATTGGGGTCCTAGCCAATGTCTCTTGATTGGGTGCTGATCTCGGCTTATTTAATTCGATCGTCTGTTGGTGCAGTCTTAATTTGGTGCTGATCTGAATCTCCAAGACTTTCACTTGACCGGTCAGAGACTCAGTGGTCGGTGATTGCCCACATGCATCGATCAGTGCCTCGTTGTATTTGACCAGTTGATCCAACAACGACTGAAGACTTGCTACGTATACGTCTGGGTCAGACTTTTGTCTGCCTTCTGCCTGTGTCATTTGCTCTCTAATGCCACTGAGAAACTTGGACGTTTTATCTTGTAGTTCTGGTAGTGTAGTCTCCAGTAGCATGCTCTGTCTTTCTGCTTCAGCATTCGTGAATTCTTCCAAAGAGTATCTTTTTCCAGGCCTAACCAGGGACATGAGTTTGTTAACTTGCGTGTTTCTGACATCTTGATCCTTTGTTCTGTTATTAAACAACACACACCCGTAGTCGCATTCTTTAAAGACTTCTGCCAGATCCCCACCCTGCTTTCTGCACCAACTGTCAAAAGTCATTTTCTCATCGTCTTCAGCATCCATCATCTCGTTTTCAAAATCATCGCCGTGAGTGAGGACACAAATCCCGTAGTTCTTGAAGACCTCCCTGCCAAAGATGGCCTTGATCACTTTGATGGCATCGCTCTCCTGTTGCGTGAATCGGCAGCCGAACTTGAGCACGATGAGGAGAGCCGTGAAGCTGTAGCTGGTCAGCTCTAGCGCCTGCTCCACTGTGTCAATGACCATCTCGAGGTTCTCACGTTTGCTCTTCTCCGTGTCGTTGACGCCTGGCCCGTCCACGACATTGACCGTCAGTCCGTTGATTGTTGTCGTCTGTTTCTCAATGGCCGTGGTCACTGAAGACATGCTTGGTGTAGACTTGAAGGCCTGACGTCCCAGTATAGAGTTACCTGTGGCACTTTTGCCGTTGCCAGTTTTGCCGATCAGTAGCAAGTCGATGGTTTTCTCATCGTCCACAGCTGGTGTGGACTTTACTTCCGAGGCTGATAATTTCCCAGCCTCCTCAGCTGTTCTTATCTAGATAGAGAGAATACATGTAGTAAACTATTTACATATAGGAACATTTCTCTCATTACATTAATACATTTTTGTAACAAAAAATCTTTCGACAAAAACAAAAATTAACAAAACTTTTCATACATTTTATATAAATAAAAATTAATTAATTAATTAATAATACTAAGTTAAATAATTGTATAATCATAAGCTTGTTTGTATAAAAATACATTTGGTCTTTTTAAGCATTATAAAAATGTTGTAACAACGTTTTAAATATGAAAGAAATCTTGTGATACCTTTTTGTTGCTTGATTCTAGTTCTTTAACATTTTCGTGTCTTGCAGAAATTTGATTAGAACTTTCAAACCTTGCCTGCCCACTGCCCACTCTACTTTGGCCAGAAGATTTTACCTCAACAGTTTTACCTAGTAAACGGCCAGGGGCTGCCTGCTCAGCTATTTCTTTAATTTTATTTTTCAAATCCTCAATTATTTGTTCATCTACCCCCTGTCTTTTGATTTGAGACAGAAGCGCATTTAGTGAAGAAAGTGTTGTCTCAGTGAGTGAAATGATTCCATTACAATACTCAGAGATCACAGTTTTTATTTTTGACTCCAGTTCTGAGGACCGAACATCTTTGTTGCTGCCTTTTGGTGTTGAAAACTCCTTTTCAGTCTCCAGCATTTCCCAGTCCCCAAGGAGAGGTTCTTGTTTGTCTCTGGATTTGACCGCAAGATTTATCTTGGATTTTATTTCCATCCCTAAAGTATCAACCTCCGTGTTGAGATTAACACCAGCTTGGAATTTGTCACCGAGATTTCCAGTGATGTATTTCTTAAGTTCCTCTAGACTTTTGGCGAATTTTTGTAACGTTGAAACGTCGTCAGGTTTAACTACTTTAAGTTTTTGTCTAATTTCTTCCAAACGTTGACGCGTTTTCTGTTCCACTTCCGGTTGATTTTTCATAGCTGTAAGAACAGAACGACCTTCACTGGCTTCTATGTAATCTTTGTGAGTGTAGTTAAACTTTAACTTTTTGACTTGCTGGAGAAGTCTTTCCACCTGGTCCACCTTTTGTTTTTCTACCTTTGTTCTGTTGTTGAACAACACGACCCTGTGTCCACACTCCTCATACAAATCTTTTATCCCCTGGTGTTGGGCGGCCACCCAGTCCTCAATGGCTGAGTACTTCTCATCGTCTGAGTCTTCCATCTGATGCTCAAAGTCATCTCCGTGTGTGAATACACAGACGCCAAACTTCTTGAAGACATCTTGTCCAAATATTGTTCTGGCAGCCTCTAAGACTACACGTTCCTCCTCAGTAAACCGCTGACCGAACTTGATCACTATCAGAAAGGCTGAGAAACTTTGTGTGAATGTAAAACACTGCTCTACAGGCCTGCAGTCGCTTGTTTTAAAACAGTTGACAATGTCCAGACCATCGATGACCTGCAACTGTTTCCCTTGGAACTCAGAACTTTCAAGTCTAGGCACGCTAGCTGTGGGCGTATTGTTAACGTTCGCATCAAACACACGTTTACCCACAATACTGTTAGCAGTAGAACTTTTGCCGTTTCCTGCTTTGCCTATGATCACGAAAGTATAACCCATTTTGGTATCCGTTGCCATGATTTAAAGAGAATTGTAATCTAGTTGTTTCTGTGGAAAAATAACAGTCGTCTAGTATTGTTTAAAACATACAAAGTTTATCAAGCAATATCGGAAAACATTTCTTATATATATATATATATATATATATATATATATATATATATATATATATATATATATATATATATAGACACACACACACACTCACACACACATATATATATATATATATATATATATATATAGACACACACACACACTCACACACACATATATATATATATATATATATATATATATATATATATATATATATATATATATATATATATATATATGTATATATATATATATATGTATATATATATATATATATATATATATATATATATATATATATATATATATATATATATATATATATATATATATGACTAAGTGACATATAGACATATTTCCATAACCTAGCTTGTGTTGTAAGCAAATGGGCAGTTAACTTAATAAACAAACACATGTGTATACTTACGACGAAGTACCCAGTATTCTAATGATTATCAGTGTTGAATGTACACAAATCTGCCTCGCATAGCCCTTATAGAGGAGACTAGTCTTGTGACAAGTTAGTCAGACAACCTCTAGTGAATGACGTGTTGGTTGGTTTTCCTGAAAACTCCGGTCAACGTACAGCGGATATAATACGAGAGAGAAAACGAAATCGGGAAATCCCAAGATTTTTACGAGCTGTGCTAATGGCCGCGGGACTGTGAGTGTGCGGGGGTGCGCTGGCTGTTGCAATCAGTAGGAGTGTGACCTACTTATCGATACGTTTTAAAGTAAACAAAAATAACTCGTGATAGCTGTGACGAACCATTAGACATTTCGTAATTACATTTGTTTTTTAATTATTAAAACACAGCTACCTAAGACCAAGTTGAAAACAAAACTATAGTGACTCGTATATATACTTTAGTACTAAAATTTAAATAGGTTTTAAATAATTAAACTACAGATTAGATTTTCATAACATTTTTTCAAGTACCTAATACAATCAGCTGTACGTGCGCATTCACTAAACACGTCTTAAAAAGAAAAATACGTGATTTTTTTATTTTTATTTTAAAACATTGGTATTCCCTCTTTTATTTTTCACTAAATAATCCCCTACACTTAGTCAGGCTCTATGTGTAAGAGTTGTTCATGTGGAACAAAGTTCTGTACATATAGTGTGTGTGTGTGTGTGTCGTCAATATGATATAGTTAGAGTGTGTGACTGAGTGAGGTAGATGTGTATATTGTTGTTGTATGGGGGTGAATGATTTCAGAAAGGGAAGCTACTCGGTCGATTGTCCAATAGACTATTGTTGAGCTTTATGTAAGGGCAATGTAGGGGATAGAAGAGGAAGCAGAGGCCAACATATTGGACTTCGATGCAGTTTATATTAAGGTTTGCAACTATTTAGCTGCACTTGTTTAAGTTAATTCTCGTTAAATTCCTTCACAGGTTGTGTTGGTAACACCATAGCTACCCAACACACAAACACAGCTATCTAACACACACACACACACAGCTACTCAACACACAAACACAGCTATCTAACACACAAACACAGCTATCTAACACACAAACACAGCTATCTAACACAGCAACACACACACACATCTAACCAACACACAAACACAGCTATCTAACACACCAACACAAACACAGCTACCAAACACACAAACACAGCTACCTAACACACAAACACAGCTATCTAACACACACACACAGCTATCTAACACACAAACACAGCTATCTAACACAGCAACACACACACACATCTACCCAACACACAAACACAGCTATCTAACACACCAACACACACACAGCTACCAAACACACAAACACAGCTACTCAACACACAAACACAGCTATCTAACACACAAACACAGCTATCTAACACACAAACACAGCTATCTAACACAGCAACACACACACACATCTACCCAACACACAAACACAGCTAACACACCAACACACACACAGCTACCAAACACACAAACACAGCTACCTAACACACAAACACAGCTATCTAACACAAACACACACACACCAATACACACACCAACAGACTTACCTAACACACCATCACATTTACCGTGATATCAGTTATAAATAGTATTCAAACTACACACTAAAGTTTTTTTTTTTCGTTCCAGTTTTCCAAAATTTAAATGGCTAAAGATTTGTTTTAATGCAAAATCCATTGAGGAATTCCCCTCCCCCCCCCCCCCCCCCTTAGACATTCCAGATTCAAAAGTGATACATATTTCTCCTACAAATAAATGTAACCCTCATTCTCGTGAAAGGGTATAATAAGATAACGTTTCTTTAATTAGTCTTTTTTACTCTTTTTAAAAAACCAGGCAGCTAGACATGATATTTACATTGTTACCCCCCCCCCCCCCCAAACATGACAGTTCGAGATCAGAGACTGAGTCCCGATGACGTCAATGTGTCCAACAGGTCTTGCTGGCTAGTTGACTCTCGTGAAAGTAATGGCGGCTGTGTAAATAACTGACCACACTATCTAGATATGGCGGCTGTGTAAATAACTGACCACACTATCCCTAGTAATGGCGGTTGTGTAAATAACTGACCACACTATCCCTAGTAATGGCGGCTGTGTAAATAACTGACCACACTATCCCTAGTTATATCGGCTGTGTAAATAACTGACCACACTATCCCTAGTTATGTCGGCTGTGTAAATAACTGACCACACTATCCCTAGTTATGTCGGCTGTGTAAATAACTGACCACACTTTCCCTAGATATGGCGGCTGTGTAAATAACTGACCACACTATCCCTAGTTATGTCGGCTGTGTAAATAACTGACCACACTATACCTAGTAATGGTGGCTGTGTAAATAACTGACCACACTAACCCTAGATATGTCGGCTGTGTAAATAACTGACCACACTATCCCTAGTAATGGCGGCTGTGTAAATAACTGACCACACTATCCCTAGTTATATCGGCGGTGTAAATAACTGACCACACTATCCCTAGATATGTCGGCTGTGTAAATAACTGACCACACTATACCTAGTAATGGTGGCTGTGTAAATAACTGACCACACTAACCCTAGTTATATCGGCTGTGTAAATAACTGACCACACTATCCCTAGTAATGGCGGCTGTGTAAATAACTGACCACACTATCCCTAGTTATGTCGGCTGTGTAAATAACTGACCACACTATCCCTAGATATGGCGGCTGTGTAAATAACTGACCACACTATCCCTAGATATGTCGGCTGTGTAAATAACTGACCACACTATACCTAGTAATGGCGGCTGTGTAAATAACTGACCACACTATCCCTATTTATATCGGCTCTGTAAATAACTGACCACACTATCCCTAGTAATGGCGGCTGTGTAAATAACTGACCACACTATCCCTAGTTATGTCGGCTGTGTAAATAACTGACCACACTATCCCTAAATATGTCGCTGTGTAAATTAACTGACCACACTATCCCTAGTTATGGCCGCTGTGTAAATAACTGACCACACTATCCCTAGTTATATCGGCGGTGTAAATAACTGACCACACTATCCCTAGATATATCGGCGGTGTAAATAACTGACCACACTATCCCTAGATATGGCGGCTGTGTAAATAGCTGACCACACTATCCTTAGTTATGGCCGCTGTGTAAATAACTGACCACACTATCCCTAGTTATATCGGCGGTGTAAATAACTGACCACACTATCCCTAGATATATCGGCGGTGTAAATAACTGACCACACTATCCCTAGATATGGCGGCTGTGTAAATAACTGACCACACTATCCCTAGATATGGCGGCTGTGTAAATAACTGACCACACTATCCCTAGATATGGCGGCTGTGTAAATAACTGACCAAACTATCCCTAGTTGTGTCGGCTGTGTAAATAACTGACCACACTATCCCTAGATATGGCGGCTGTGTAAATAACTGACCACACTATCCCTAGATATGGCGGCTGTGTAAATAGCTGACCACACTATCCCTAGTTATGGCCGCTGTGTAAATAACTGACCACACTATCCCTAATTATATCGGCGGTGTAAATAACTGACCACACTATCCCTAGATATATCGGCGGTGTAAATAACTGACCACACTATCCCTAGATATGGCGGCTGTGTAAATAAATGACCACACTATCCCTAGATATGGCGGCTGTGTAAATAACTGACCAAACTATCCCTAGTTGTGTCGGCTATGTAAATAACTGACCACACTATCCCTAGATATGGCGGCTGTGTAAATAACTGACCACACTATCCCTAATTATGGCGGCTGTGTAAATAACTGACCACACTATCACTAGTTATGTCGGCTGTGTAAATAACTGACCACACTATCCCTAGATATGTCGCTGTGTAAATTAACTGACCACACTATCCCTAGTTATGGCGGCTGTGTAAATAACTGACCAAACTATCCCTAGTTGTGTCGGCTGTGTAAATAACTGACCACACTATCCCTAGTAATGGCGGCTGTGTAAATAACTGACCACACTATCCCTAGTAATGGCGGCTGTGTAAATAACTGACCACACTATCCCTAGATATGTCGGCTGTGTAAATAACTGACCACACTATACCTAGTAATGGCGGCTGTGTAAATAACTGACCACACTATCCCTAGTTATATCGGCTGTGTAAATAACTGACCACACTATCCCTAGTAATGGCGGCTGTGTAAATAACTGACCACACTATCCCTAGTTATGTCGGCTGTGTAAATAACTGACCACACTATCCCTAGTAATGGCGGCTGTGTAAATAACTCACCACACTATCCCTAGTTATATCGGCGGTGTAAATAACTGACCACACTATCCCTAGATATATCGGCGGTGTAAATAACTGATCACACTATCCCTAGATATAGCGGCTGTGTAAATAGCTGACCACACTATCCCTAGTTATGGCCGCTGTGTAAATAACTGACCACACTATCCCTAGATATATCGGCTGTGTAAATAACTGACCACACTATCCCTAGATATGGCGGCTGTGTAAATAACTGACCACACTATCCCTAGATATGGCGGCTGTGTAAATAACTGACCAAACTATCGCTAGTTATGTCGGCTGTGTAAATAACTGACCACACTATCCCTAGTAATGGCGGCTGTGTAAATAACTGACCACACTATCCCTAGTTATGTCGGCTGTGTAAATAACTGACCACACTATCCCTAGTTATGTCGGCTGTGTACATAACTGACCAAACTATCCCTAGATATGTCGCTGTGTAAATAACTGACCACACTATCCCTAGTAGTGGCGGCTGTGTAAATAACTGACCACACTATCCCTAGTTATGTCGGCTGTGTAAATAACTGACCAAACTATCCCTAGTTATGTCGGCTGTGTAAATAACTGACCACACTATCCCTAGTAATGGCGGCTGTGTAAATAACTGACCACACTATCCCTAGTTATGTCGGCTGTGTAAATAACTGACCACACTATCCCTAGTTATGTCGGCTGTGTACATAACTGACCAAACTAACCCTAGATATGTCGCTGTGTAAATTAACTGACCACACTATCCCTAGTTATGGCCGCTGTGTAAATAACTCACCACACTATCCCTAGTTATATCGGCGGTGTAAATAACTGACCACACTATCCCTAGATATATCGGCGGTGTAAATAACTGATCACACTATCCCTAGATATAGCGGCTGTGTAAATAGCTGACCACACCATCCCTAGTTATGGCCGCTGTGTAAATAACTGACCACACTATCCCTAGATATATCGGCTGTGTAAATAACTGACCACACTATCCCTAGATATGGCGGCTGTGTAAATAACTGACCACACTATCCCTAGATATGGCGGCTGTGTAAATAACTGACCAAACTATCCCTAGTTATGTCGGCTGTGTAAATAACTGACCACACTTTCCCTACATATGGCGGCTGTGTAAATAACTGACCACACTATCCCTAATTACGGCGGCTGTGTAAATAACTGACCACACTATCGCTAGTTATGTCGGCTGTGTAAATAACTGACCACACTATCCCTAGATATGTCGCTGTGTAAATAGCTGACCACACTATCCCTAGTTATGGCCGCTGTGTAAATAACTGACCACACTATCCCTAGTTATGTCGGCTGTGTAAATAACTGACCACACTATCCCTAGATATGTCGGCTGTGTAAATAACTGACCACACTATCCCTAGTAATGGCGGCTGTGTAAATAACTGACCACACTATCCCTAGTTATGTCGGCTGTGTAAATAACTGACCACACTATCCCTAGATATGTCGGCTGTGTAAATAACTGACCACACTATCCCTAGTAATGGCGGCTGTGTAAATAACTGACCACACTATCCCTAGATATGTCGGCTGTGTAAATAACTGACCACACTATACCTAGTAATGGCGGTTGTGTAAATAACTGACCACACTATCCCTATTTATATCGGCTCTGTAAATAACTGACCACACTATCCCTAGTAATGGCGGCTGTGTAAATAACTGACCAGACTATCCCTAGTTATGTCGGCTGTGTAAATAACTGACCACACTATCCCTAGTTATATCGGCGGTGTAAATAACTGACCACACTATCCCTAGATATATCGGCGGTGTAAATAACTGACCACACTATCCCTAGATATGGCGGCTGTGTAAATAGCTGACCACACTATCCTTAGTTATGGCCGCTGTGTAAATAACTGACCACACTATCCCTAGTTATATCGGCGGTGTAAATAACTGACCACACTATCCCTAGATATATCGGCGGTGTAAATAACTGACCACACTATCCCTAGATATATCGGCTGTGTAAATAACTGACCACACTATCCCTAGATATGGCGGCTGTGTAAATAACTGACCACACTATCACTAGATATGGCGGCTGTGTAAATAACTGACCAAACTATCCCTAGTTGTGTCGGCTGTGTAAATAACTGACCACACTATCCCTAGATATGGCGGCTGTGTAAATAACTGACCAAACTATCCCTAGTTGTGTCGGCTGTGTAAATAACTGACCACACTATCCCAAGATATGGCGGCTGTGTAAATAACTGACCACACTATCCCTAATTATGGCGGCTGTGTAAATAACTGACCACACTATCACTAGTTATGTCGGCTGTGTAAATAACTGACCACACTATCCCTAGATATGTCGCTGTGTAAATTAACTGACCACACTATCCCTAGTTATGGCGGCTGTTTAATAGTTGACCACACTATCCCTAGTTATGGCGGCTGTGTAAATAACTGACCACACTATCCCTAGTTATATCGGCGGTGTAAATAACTGACCACACTATCCCTAGATATATCGGCGGTGTAAATAACTGACCACACTATCCCTAGATATGGCGGCTGTGTAAATAGCTGACCACACTATCCTTAGTTATGGCCGCTGTGTAAATAACTGACCACACTATCCCTAGTTATATCGGCGGTGTAAATAACTGACCACACTATCCCTAGATATATCGGCGGTGTAAATAACTGACCACACTATCCCTAGATATGGCGGCTGTGTAAATAACTGACCACACTTTCCCTAGATATGGCGGCTGTGTAAATAACTGACCACACTATCCCTAGTTATATCGGCTGTGTAAATAACTGACCACACTATCCCTAGATATATCGGCGGTGTAAATAACTGACCACACTATCCCTAGATATGGCAACTGTGTAAATAGCTGACCACACTATCCCTAGTTATGTCGGCTGTGTAAATAACTGACCACACTATCCCTAATAATGGCGGCTGTGTAAATAACTGACCACACTATCCCTAGTTATGTCGGCTGTGTAAATAACTGACCACACTATCCCTAGATATGGCGGCTGTGTAAATAACTGACCACACTATCCCTAGATAAGTCGAATTATATTAGTATATAAACTCTACCTCATTTGCTCTCCAACATTCCATTAACTTTGTAATATAGCAACTCCTCTCTGATACCCTTAATGTGTGGTTAAGGTTAAACCACATGTTAACCCACTAATCCAGCACCTTATCTCTGATACCCTTAATGTGTGCCTGGTTAAGTTTAAACCACAGGTTAACCCCTAACCTAGCACCTTATCTCTGGTATACTATGTGTCTGGTTAAGTTTAACAACATGTTAACCATTAACCCAGCATCTTATCTCTGATACCCTAAATATGTTAGACTACAGCTTCACCACGTTACTTCGTGAACTACATCATACAAAATCTTGGTCCTGAGACAGTTTTAATTGAGCAAAACATCAATATGATTATTTTATTGGTTCATAAAGAAATATTTGATTTGTATAACTATTTAGTTGCATAATCTATTTTATATACGCTGTGTTATTTAATACACTAAACACAAGGTAATTACTACTAGGACCAACAATTAGTTATCTCTTACTATGTTCACCCAGTTATCTTTCCTGAGTAACGAGTCCTTTTGTGTGAACTATTTTTCCTTCTGTAATATCCACCGTTTGCAAAGGTAAGGGTAATATAGTGTGATATTTTACATTATACTGCTAACGGAGAACATCATATTTCCTATTCTTGATAGTCATTATCAAGATAATTAACTTAAACCCATTTTATAAATACTGTTTTCTGGTATATAATCAAACCTGTAGTGGAAACAATTTGACAAATACAATCGAAATACTGACAACATTTTGACAAATACAATCGAAATACTGACAACAATTTGACAAATATAATCGAAATACTGACAACATTTTGACAAATACAATCGAAATATTGACAATATTTTTACAAATACAATCGAAATACTGACAACATTTTGACAAATACAATCGAAATACTGACAACATTTTGACAAATACAATCGAAATACTGACAACATTTTGACAAATACAATCGAAATACTGACAACAATTTGACAAATACAATCGAAATACTGACAACATTTTGACAAATACAATCGAAATACTGACAACATGATCATGAAAGCTAGGAATAACAGCTTTAAGTGTTTTCATAAATGTTTTACTACTCCGTATAGCTATATAAAGGACGGCGTGGTCTAGTGGTAGAGAGCTAGACTGCTAACCCGTAAGTATCGAGTTCGAATCCGGGTTCAAATTAGTCATACATCCCTGAGTCCACCCAGCCCAGATAGGTACCTGACTCACATTAGGGGAACAAAGGCGACTGGACATAGTGCTGACCAAACTATTCCTTTATATGCCGATGTGTCTGATGCATATGAACTCTACCTTACCTGCCCCATGTCACTTGGGTTTGAACGGGAAGTGATGGTGATAGCCACATAGACCCTACTACTCTAGCAAACAAGACTCTAAATTAGCCATATTTCCAAGATAATATTAACAAAACCGACCAGCAGTGTAATTTTTTATTATAAAAGTCATATTCGTATGATCTATAAAGTGGATAAAGTGATAAAAAATTTAAAAATTCCATAAGATAAAACATTGGTTCAGTAAAAGAAATAAGTACTAGATCTAAATAGAAGTGGTAGCTAAGTATATAAAATCAATGGAATACACCGTTCGATTAGTTGTTTAAATAACGTACAGGCAGCGCCATCAGAAGCATGTTTTGTTGTATTAGAGGTGGTGCATGCTTTAAATGGCTGAACAATCTCTAAGGCGATTTACATTTTAAAACATAAATTACCCTAGATTTAGGTTAAATATTATTTTTTTTAAAAAGTTTACTTTTAAATTTGTTGCAATGTCTTTGAAATAAGTTTCAATTAGGAAAAAAAATTACGTTGAAAAAAAATGATAAAAGATTATAAAAAATGTAAAACGGACAATATCTAGTATTACAAAATGTGAAAGTGCATAATGTAGAAATCTAACCCAGCTTCACTCGGGCCCTAGCTTGATCGGTCTAGACCAAGTTTTTAAAGAGTGGGCAGTATTGTGACTAGAAGTCCCACCTGAACTGACTGGCTCTAATGTTGTGGAACTGCTTGCCACACCCCCTAATCCTCTCCACTTTCTCCAGGATTCCCTTGGCTCTTTCTAATTTCCTTTTCTTCAAGGTGTCTTCAAATTTCTTCTCCTCAGCACGGTTGAAGTCCCCCATGTCGTGTTTCACATCGTCATTCTCGTTGTCAATTTCTTCTTTTTGATTCCTCTCTTGCGTCGCTTCACCAGACGACCGGCGTTGTTTTATTTCATCAACACTGCTCAGAGAGGGAGAACTTTCATCGGAAACCTTTTTCTGTAGGGTGTCCACGGCTTGCGTCAGGTCACGGAGAGCTACCAGAAATTGTTCCTGTTGTGCGACTAAACCCTCCACCACCTTGGTCTGACGTAGGAACATGTCGCACAGCGTCACGTTCTCTGGTTGGGTAGAGTTGTGTGCGATGTGCATCTGAGCCAGACTTGTGCCGACTTCTTTCATCGTCTCGCTGGTCACAGAAGGCCCGGGTTGATCGCTTAGCACGGAGTCGTTAGTCAGCTGGACTTTATGTGTGAGGTTGTAGCGGCGGCTGCAGAAGATCTCATCCACCCTCGCTAACAACGCCTCAATGTGATCGTCATAGTCCAGCTCAGAGTCGCACGAGTTGTCGAACATGACAGCCCTGTTGCATTCCAGATACAAATCCTTAAAGGCGCCATCTTGTTTTTTCAACCACTGAGAGAAGGTTATACCATCGCCGCCTTTGGCATCCTGCTTGGCCCAGAAGATATCCCCGCACGTGATGATTAAAATGCAATAATCTCGAACAAAATTTTCCCCGAATATTTTCTTTAAAACCTGGACCGTCTCCTGTTCTTCACGTGTAAACCTATTGCCATATTTCAGGACGAGAAGGAAGGCATGGTAGCCCTCAGGATTGACTGCCAGAGCCAACTTAGCGGCCTCGTTCAACTGCTCAACTGACCCCTCCTCGTCCAGTCTGGTATCAGAAATTGTCAGACCATCCACGACTTTTATCTTACGACCTTTGAACTCTGTAATCCCATAGTCCATCTGCTTAGTTCTAGAGGAGGTACTCGACTTGCTCGTGAATTTTTTCTCCCTCAGTAACGTGTTTCCTGTCGCACTCTTGCCATTCCCGGTTCGTCCTATCAGTAGGAGATCGATGCGAGGTGTAGGTTTCATGGCACCCTGGACCGATATTAAAAATTATTAGATAATTGTTGATGTAAAATAAAATCAATGTTTACATTACAAAGATATCACAGTTGTACGTTGAATGTAATTGTAACATTCTACAACAACGAATTCCTGGCTCACTTTCCCTCGTGGACAATGGATTCACACAGAGAAGTAAAGTCATCAGGGACTGTCAGGGATTGGATAGACAGACCATGTGTTGCCCATGCATCTTGATCTATATTTAGAACTTGGACGGTTTAGACCAAAGCAATGCTAAATATTACGTTTAGCTCCAGCTTTGTTACAGAAATTGCCGGAAGAGAATTATAGTTTTGGTGTTCATATCGCGTGTTTGATATCGGTGTTTTCTTGCCGAGAGGGGTTGCTGTCTCAAGCTACGTAGCCTATCTGCCCTGAGGTTTGAACTCGGGACTTTTTGCTTAGCAGCAATGAGCTTTACCGACCAGACTAGGCCAATTCCTTAGGGATATGGTGGTAGATTCTCTGAGGTAAAAATATAGCTTCACACATTTTTGAGCGTGGAAACATTACTATTTTATTCAATTTTCAAAATAGTTACATTTTTAAAGCGTTAAGAGTTCTTCCAAAATATGTAACGGGAAAGATAACAGCTTTAGTTTATTTGAACTCCCTAAACCGAGCATTGTGAACTTGTATTACTTAACTATAGCTAGTGTATGCGTTCGACAAATGTCGACATTAAATGGCCAAGTGGTTCTATATTTTACACCTGGACGATAAGGCATTTATATTTTAATAGGCGTGTAATAGGGCTATGATCTGGTACAGTAGTGCTATTGGGCTCTAATCTGTTAAAGCTATACAATTAAATTTTTAAAAAAAAGTCGCATTACTATAGATGAGAAAGTAAGTACGAAGAATGAACCGATCTATTCAATCAATATAAAAGACAAACAAACAAAGCTAAGATCGATTCACGAACGGTTAAATGTGTCCTTAAGTCAGCGCAATATTCTCAAATGTATCTTCAGCTAATTTGTGGTGGGGGGGGGGGGGGGGTGTGTGAATTGATGTGACGTTTTTTGTGGTGATTTTTCGCCCATTTTCAAAGTGACCTTTTAGTCGTCTCTTTGTGTAACTAACAACTGTAACTTAATTTTATAAATCAGCCAATTCTTCTCAATTTATGTGGAAAGTAAAATGGTTTATGCAACATTATTTTTAATTAACAAGCTCCCAGAAAATTGTACATTTTTACAAATGTTAATAACTGGTCCCAATCTCATATGTCATCTAATATTTCACTCCGATCCCTCAATTCACCTCACCCCAACCCCTAACCTCACCCCGAACTTTTATCCCCACCTCTCACCTCGACACCTCACTCCGACCACTCACTACACCTCACCCCAACACCTAACATCACTTCACCTCTCCCCCTCCTAGCCTCACCCGACCCCTAACCACGGACTATATGCCCCACCCCCTGCCACAAAGACTATGTGCCCCATCCCCTGTCACAAAGACTATGTGCCCCATCCCCTGTCACAAAGACTATGTGCCCCACCCCCTGCCACAAAGGCTATGTGCCCCCACCCCCTGCGATAAAGACTATGTGCCCCATCCCCTGTCACAAAGACTATGTGCCCCACCCCTGTCACAAATAATATGTGCCCCACCCCCTGCCACAAAGACTATGTACCCCACCCCCTGCCACAAAGACTATGTGCCCCACCCCTGCCACAATGTGCCCCACCCTCTGCCACAAAAACTGTGTGCCCCACCCTCTGCCACAAAAACTGTGTGACCCACCCTCTGCCACAAAAACTGTGTGACCCACCCTCTGCCACAAAGACTATGTGCTCCATCCCCTACCATCTGGATTTCGTGCCACACCCCCTTGCTACTAAGTCAGTACCCAACCTAAGCTAGAAGAACTGACCAATGTGATCTACTACCCCACCCTTGGTCACTACCCCACCCCTGGTCACTACCCCACCACTAGTCACTACCCCACCCCTGGTCACTGCCCCAGCCCTGGTCACTACCCCACTCCTGGTCACTACCCCACCCCTGGTCACTACCCCACCCCTGGTTACTACCCCACCCCTGGTCACTACCCAGTCCGTGCCACTATGTATGAGTCACTATAGACCCCACCACAACCTGTCAGTAGAACAGATGACGCAATGTAAACAATATTCAAAGCTGCGATGGTTGATTTTGTTTAGATTTATGTTTACGGCGCTATCTCTACACTCTAGACCAAGCCAAGCCGTAGTCTAGATCTAAATGTTTAAGTTGAAAAAGTAAATGGGTATGTTTCAATAAAATGTATTGGAAACAGAAAGCGCACAATACTAAACATTGTATGTTAAAATTAAGATCTATTACCACTACCTTTACGTGTATATTTAGCTTGCACAGATAGAGAGATAACAAACAAACCTAACAAACTGTTTTCTCCTAACTGATTAGAATGTTGTCCTCAAACTAGACAACGTAAATAGATCTACTTCTGTTCAGAAGAGTGTAAAAACGGTGCTTGATTTTCGGATAACGGTGCGTAATCTTAGCGTAATACATTTGCAACTTTCCCATTAAGTCATTGAGTAATGCACGCTGTCGAAACTAGTCTCAAAAACAATTTATTGGTGAATAAAATATTTTTAAATCGTGTGCAGTGATCTACAAATAAATGTTATAAAAACTTTTTTTTGAGGTGTTTGTCGGGCTTTACTAAAGATGTGTTTTATAGCATAAAATGACAACAATCAAGAAAGTGAAACTTTAGGTTATAGTTTAGTCTTGATGAAAATTTAAAAAAAAAGTATCCTTAAGAGCAAAAAGCAACTGTTATATTCTCTGGATTTGCAACGTTTACACCATTGATTCTAAAAATATTAAATTTCTGAATTATTTTCAATGCTATTTTATTAATTTTATTATAATTTACGGCCGCTTGGATGGCAAATTCTAAAAAAAGTTTCCAATCCATGTCAACAGTAATGATCTAACCCCTTTAATAAACGAGTTGATGCCCACTGCAAAACAAAAGTAACACGTGAAGTTGGTAGGCCTATAACTATAATCGGATAATTTTAATCTCACAGAAACGTAGGGATCTTTAACAAATTACTAAATGATGGTTTTGACACACCCGCAATACGTCTAAATGTAACCTTATTATTCTGTATTACCCCAAACCTAAAATGTTTGTGTGTGTAACCTTTAGCATTGTTACCGTTTGGTTGTCTTCAATATCTGCATCAGCTGGTGGAAAGTCACGGGGTAGACAAGCAGCTGGGGTACAGGCAGATCGCATATAAGGAGGTGGCATATAGTGACTTGATGAATCAGAGGAATCTGATTGGCCTATGGGAGAAAGGGGCATATATATATATATATATATATATATATATAAATATATATATATATATATATATATATATATATATATATATATATATATATATATATATATATATATATATATATATATATATATATATATATATATATATATATATATATATATATATATATATATATATATATATATATATATATATATATATATATATATATATATATATATATATATATACATATATATATATATATATATACATATATACATACATATATACATATATACATATTTACATACATACATATATATATATATATATATATTTATAAATATATATATATATATATATATATATATATATATATATATATATATATATATATATATATATATATATATATATATGTGTGTGTGTGTGTGTGTGTGTGTGTGTGTGTGTGTGTGTGTGTGTGTGTGTGTTATGTGTGTGCGTGTGTTTTGATGTTAAGAAGGGAGATTACAATATAGAAATAAAAACAAATTTAAAACCCACAAACTCAACTTTCGCGTCCCTTTGATAACTGTCACACACGTCTGCTCACACTAGCACCCGTCCAGCACACGTGACAGCGTGAGTAGAGAAACACACATGACCAACTATTGTGTAGTCAAAGGGTCGTTCATCCCACAAAATTGTTTTTACATTTACTAAACACTCATTAAATCTCCTCATACAAATAGATCCGACCCTTTTCTCCAAAAGTCGCATGTTTATGTTTTGAAGCAGCTATCCCTTAAGGTCACACTATTAGCATCTAACGCGACTGACTCGCAGCTGGGAGTTGAAATTATTTTACGACCTCTACATATAATTATCTAATCATTAAATCTTGATAATTAGTTTTTGTATTACAGTTGTTACATTTTATTGCAGTTTTTTCATTAATATTTATGGTAAGAAAACAATTTTTTTTCGAACCTGGTAGCTTACGATGCAGGTGCAGTAGAGTTGACCTGTTTTATGTTTCTAATGCCTTGATGTAAAACTTTTTTTTTAAAATATGTAAAGCTTCTAAAAAGGCGGCATTTTTCACAAACGAAAGAATGTCCTCCATTCCAAAAGTATAGTTCGTCTCTCTCTCTCTTTCTCTCTCTCTCTATCTCTCACTTTCTTTCTCTGTCTCTCTGTCTCTGTCTCTCTTATCTAACAGATGACGATTAGGTAGGTAAAAATATTAGTTTTGATAATTATTGTTACAATTTACTTTTTCGAAAAATGTTCGAGCTTTGTTACAAAATATTACTAGTCTAAGAAACAGAAATATAAAAACACTTGTTTAAACCCTCTTATTGTCCTTATCACAAATTCCACCCCCCCCCCCCCAACACACACACACACACAATCAACGAGTTTGACGACATTCATGTACGACTTCCAAATGTCTACTCACGATAATTGGTAGTAAAATAAGAAAAAGTATCACTAATTAAGAAATGTTAATCTAAACATGCCTAGACCCGTAGTCTCTGTCGGTATACTCTCTGCGTCATTATGCTGGACTTTGGTAAACATAAAACCCATTTGAAGATACAGGAACGTATGGGAAGACTTTTACTGTCGTCACCTTCTCGGGTACGTTAGAGTTTGTATCTGAATGAAAGAGTTTGTATCTGAATGAAAGAGTTTGTATCTGAATGAAAGAGTGTGTATCTGAATGAAAGAGTGTGTATCTGTATGAAAGAGTGTGTATCTGAATGAAAGAGTGTGTATCTGAATGAAAGTGTATGTATCTGAATGAACGAGTATGTATCTGAATAAAAAAAACATTGAAATTTATATCATCGAGTAGCTATAGGTTACCTTGAATTTTCTCGCTCCAGATCATTTACATATGAAACATTTAGAGCCCATTGTGCTGGATATGTGACCAACACAACCTCAGCAATATATGTTATATACACAACATCAGCAACATATAAGACCAACACAGCCTCAGCAACATATGTTATAAACACAACCTCAGTAACATAAATGACCAACACAACCTCAGCAACATATGTGAGCAGCAGAACCTCAGTAACATATGTCACCAACACAACCTTATCAACATATGTGACCAACACAACCTCAGCAACTATTGTCACCAACACAACCTCAGCAACATATGTGACCAACACAACACCAGCAACATATGTTACCCACACAACCTCAGCAACATAAATGACCAACACAGCCTCAGCAACATATGTGAGCAACACAACATCAGCAACATAAATGACCAACACAACCTCAGTAACATAAATGACCAACACAACCTCAGCAACATATGTGAGCAACACAACATCAGCAACATAAATGACCAACACAACCTCAGCAACATGTGTGACCAACACAACGTCAGCAAAATATGTGAGCAACACAACCTCAGCAACATAAATGACCAACACAACCTCAGCAACATATGTGGCCAACACAACATCAGCAACATATGTGACCAACACAACCTCAGCAACATATGTGACCAACACAACATCAGCAACATATGTGACCAACACAACCTCAGCAAAATATGTGGCCAACACAACCTCAGCAACATAAATGACCAACACAACCTTAGCAACATATGTGACCAACACAACCTCAGCAACATATGTGATCAACACAACCTCAGCAACATATGTGAGCAACACAACCTCAGCAACATATGTTACCCACACAACCTCAGCAACTATTGTCACCAACACAACCTCAGCAACTATTGTCACCAACACAACATCAGCAACATATGTGACCACCACAACCTCAGCAACATATGAGACCAGCACAACCTCAGCAACATATGTGACCAACACAACCTCAGCAACATATGTGACCAACACAACCTCAGCAACATATGTGACCAACACAACCTCAGCAACATATGTTACCCACACAACCTCAGCAACTATTGTCACCAACACAACCTCAGCAACTATTGTCACCAACACAACATCAGCAACATATGTGACCACCACAACCTCAGCAACATATGAGACCAGCACAACCTCAGCAACATATGTGACCAACACAACCTCAGCAACATATGTGACCAACACAACCTCAGCAACATATGGGACCAACACAACATCAGCAACATATATGACCAACACAACCTCAGCAACATATGTGACTAACACAACCTCAGCAACATATGTGACTAACACAACCTCAGCAACATATGTGACCAACACAACCTCAGCAACATAAGTGACCCACTTGAGTCGCTAAAATTACAACCTACTTTAATTTGCGATAATTTTAAACATTCACCAAATATTTCATACTTAACATGGAGAATTGAATGTGTTACTTTATAATTAAACCAGAATTTCTGGCTCTTGTCTAGTTTTAAAGATCTAAATTTAGATCTAGAGTCTAGATCTTCATTCGACATACGTATGTCGTGTGTAAAACGATTGTATTTAGAGTTTTAGAGATCTAATTACAAAACTCACAATACTTAATTAGTAAATATGTTATTTTTACCACTTCAACCTGTAAGATTCACGTTGACAACACTACAGTAGAGAGTAGGCTAGATCTAATAAAGAATTTTCTCTTTGAGACGAAAATGAGAGTGTTTATGCCAGACAATATAAATACGTCAGTTTTTTAAACACGCCATGCAGAAATGGTGCTTGATTTTCTGATCATGGTGCGCAAACATAAACTTAGATAAAAGAAAAGAAAATGTTGTTTTTGTAGTATTTATGTTAATGTATTCCAGTATTTAATTTTTCCAGAAAAATAGCTAATTAGCCGATTTGGTTCTGTTTTAATTATTTTCAATGCAAAGATATTTTTAAGCCGTGTATACACAGTTTAGGAAATGTAGCTGTTTGAACAACTTTATTTTTATTTAGTTTTTCATGATTCAATGATTTTTTTCATGATTCAGTTTCTTTATTTAAAAAAAAATACGTGTGTTTCATTCTGTTTTTTTTATGTGTTAGGTGTAAGTAAAATGAGATTTGTTGATGAGCTGATGAGAGATGTATCTGATAAGAGAAGGGTTTGCTTGGTTGGTGAGCTGATGAGAGATGTATCTGATAAGAGAAGGGTTTGCTTAGTTGGTGAGCTGATGAGAGATGTATCTGATAAGAGAAGGGGTTTGCTTGGTTGGTGAGCTGATGAGAGATGTATCTGATAAGAGAAGGGGTTTGCTTGGTTGGTGAGCTGATGAGAGATGTATCTGATAAGAGAAGGGGTTTGCTTGCCACCAACCCCTGCACCAGGTTCTTGACTTTCAAAATGTCCATATTTGGTTTCATCTGTTGTTAGTACCTTGATATTCCTTACTCCCAGACACAAGATTGACTCCATCAGTAGCTGTTTCTCGTTCTGCTCAGTTGTCTCGCCTTTGATATGTTCTAGGCTATTTGTATTTCATACGATGAACGTGTGCCCTGCCCCATGTTTGTGTAATTTGTATCAAATACTGTGTGTGGTATGGTTGGAGGTAGCTCAGTCTACGTCTCTCTACGTTTTCTGTTTTATCATACCGCTATGTTGTTTCTTTAACTTGTTTCTTACCTCGAAGCATGTCATCATTTATCTGATGACATGCGTGTTTGTACAAACAAGACATCGAAAACTAATCTTATAATAATTATAAGGGTTGTCACGTATTCAAGAATAAGAAAATCAATACAAGAGATGGTTTCAATATCTGGTTATGGTTTAGAATATAGAAAACGTTAAAAATAAATACTTATAATAAAATACTTAAAAAAAACTTTTTAAAAAACCACGTTTTTCTTGTGGACTAAAAAGTAGAAAATAACTATTTACATACATTTGATGACAAAAAACGTGGGTACGTTCACCATCAAATTTCCCGACCCATCTGCCCGACCCACGTTTTTTGTCATCAAATGTATGTAAATAGTTATTTTCTACTTTTTAGTCCACAAGAAAAACGTGGTTTTTTAAAAAGTTTTTTTTAAGTATTTTATTTTCTCCTTTTTAGTCCGTTGCTACACATGAAAAACGTGGTTTTTAAAAAAGTTTTTTATATAGTTTATTTTCTACTTTATCTAATGACTTGATTAAGTATGAATTGACTAAGTGTTTATAAATACACGGACTAAAAAAATCTTGAGCGACCAGGATTCGAACCTGGGTTGTCGCGGCCACAACGCGAAGTACTAACCACTATACGATCACGGCCAGCGCGCTCACATCGATTGGGGCCGAAGTAACTGTGTCAACAAGCCTCCAGTCTTGTCGGTATCTTTAGAAATCATGTCCTCAATTTTATGGTCCTTTGGGCGTAATTAAATTAAGCTAATTACGGTCTCTAATTGCTAGTTTTTATGATTGCATCTGAAATTGTTAGGCGAAAGTAACCTGCATGCCAAATTTCAGATCTATAGAGCAATCAGAAGTGGGCTAATTTTCGATGTCAATTTTAACAACAAACACATCCACGCGAAGCTGAGTTAATAAAAACGTGTTAAAAACCATTATAATAACACCCTTTGAAATGCACTGAAATAAATAAATAAACAAACTTGTTTTTCATAACAGCTTTGTAAAATATGTATGAGATGTGATGAGCGATATAAGATTATATTGAAGAAAGCAACATTGCTTTATTTTCTTATTTCCAGTGCATTTAAAAGCTTGTTATTATAAGCGCTTTTAAATATTTTTCTCACTTTTTAGAGCATTATTCAACAAGTTCGTGGACTTAAAATTTTGCGTTAAAACCCGAACATTAGCTTGTGAGCTTAAAAAAAACAACAACAGTTATCTGTGCCTACTTGGTTCGTGGTCTACGCTCAGGCAAGAACTCAATCAGCCGTGACAAAATTTTCACCCTCGGTGGATAGCCTATATGCTCGAGCGATAGCTGGTATTTATTGGTGTTATCTCATCATTTGACTATTGATTATAGCAGTTTTTAAGTTAAATTTCATTGACCAATCTAATGTTAAAAATAAATATTACTCGTCTTGTCATTGAAGAAGAGCGTATCTGAAAAGCTAGACCGCAATCGCTACAATAGAAGTTGTTGGAAGTTGAGTTACAAGATTTCCCACAAACCCACAGAAATAGTGAACGTATTAAATGCTTGTTATATTCTATACGCGATTCATATTTTGGAACAGTCTACTGATGTCTTGTCTTGATAACACCCCAGGGAAACCTGCATTTAGCCCTAGATGGCTTTGTACTGTTGTAGTACATAGTAGCTACGTATAGCGTTCATTTCTATACATACTGTTGTAACCATTTTTTTATTCTCAGTTAAACATTATAGTACATAAGAATACATAGTTTTTAAGCTCTAAATCTAGTCAAAACAAAACCTAAAAATACAATATTTAACGTAACGCGAAAACTCGCAGGTAATGACTTTAATTAACTAAGTTTGAAAAATAACACTTTGTTTCAACTCACACTGTTCGACATAACTTGACCTATAATCGTAAATTTTAATGGCACTAATGTAATTCCAGGTAAAGTTTTTTGAATATATTCCAGATTCTTAGTTCCTGCCTTAATATGTACTTGCCTCACGCTGTTAAACTTTTCATTTTCTATATTCGGTATTAAACTTTCTTATAGCGGTTTTTACTCCTGTGTCATTAACTATGGTCTCTTCTGTGTGGCCATCTCTTGCATTCTTCTTTCTATATCATCAAATCTCTTGTGTTGATCGTGCTTCAGTTCTTCAATCAGATTTTCATATTTCTCTCTTTGAATTGTCAGCTCGTTTTCAAAGTTTATTTTCATCTCTTCTTCATGTTGCCGATATTGTTTTATTTCTTCAGCATATCTTTGAGACCGCTCTCTTTCTTCAGAAATCTGTTTCTGTACAGATTCCAGAGTTCTAGCCATGTCTTGAAGGGTCCCTGAAAATTCTTCCTGTTTGGCCAGTATTTCCTGGTCTGTTTTGGTTTGAGGTGAAATCTTGGCTTGCGGTGTTAAGACTTCTGCCTCACTAGAGCCTTGTGTTGCTTGCGGCTGGTCAACAGTTGGAATTTCTTCTGTGACCGTTGTCTCACCAGCTGACATCAGTCTCTTTAGATCTGCTGCAATGCTGTCGTTAACTTGCTGAATTCTCTCTGAAAGGTTGTATCGCCTTTCGCCGAGTAAGTCATCAATGGTTGACAATACAGCGTCAACATGACTATCTATTTCTCTATTGGAGTGACACGTGTTGTCGAATATAAGCGCTCTGTCAGCAAATTCATCCATTAACTCTTTAAAGGCGCCATGTTGACCTTGGCACCACTCTGTGAAGGTCAAACCGTCGCTGCCTTTGGCTTCCCTTTCTTGCTCGAAAATATCCCCGCACGTGATGATTAAAATCCCGAAATCTCGGATAAAATTATCCCCGAATATTTTCTTTAAAATCTGCACTGTGTTCTGTTCTTCTCGTGTGAACCTATTGCCGTATTTGACCACCAGAAGAAATGCATGATATCCTTCAGGGGTGACTGCTAGAGCCATCTTCGTGGCTTCAATCAGCTGTGCGACTGACTTCTCATTGTCTAGCCCGGTATCACACACCGTAAGACCGTCAACGACTTTAATATGACGACGTTTGAACTCTGTGATATGGTAGTCGATTTGTTGTTTTGAGCGACATGTACCTGACCTGTTAGAAAAACGTTTTTTCCCCACGATGGTATTGGCTGTGGAACTTTTGCCGTTTCCAGTTTTTCCAACTAAGAGGATGTTAACCCTTGGACCCTTCTGTGTCTCAGCTCTCGGCTAGAGAAAGAAACATATACATATAGCTATAAATAAAATATATAAGAAACATGTTTTGTTATTATTTTGTTATCAGATTTAAATTCGGTCTCATAGACAGGAAATTTCTACTAAAATATTAACGATGGGTAAAAAATCTAATTAAAAATGTAATTTATTCACATTTGTACTCAACATCTGCTCACAGTATATTTTCTCTCCATAAGCTCTTATATAAACATACCATCTTTTCTTCCCTCTCGAACGATACTTCTTCGGCAATCGAATCAAATTCTAGTCCACTGCAACTGCTCGATGAAGTGACTGGAGATTAAATATATAGTCCAATATATATATATATATATATATATATATATATATATATATATATATATATATATATATATATATATATATATTTATATATATATATATTGTATATACATATATATATATATATATATTGTATATACATATATATATATATATATATATTGTATATACATATATATATATATATTGTATATATATATATATATATATATATATATATATATATATATATATATATATTATGTATGCATGTATAAGCTGGCAGATAACAAAGAAAATCGTCATCTATTAATTATTCGTACATTTTGTTCAGAGGCGTGGTGACCCTTCCCGGCGCCCGGGAACAAACGTTTCGATTTGCACCCCCCTCAAGATTTCGATTTGCACCAACCCCTCCCGCCCCTCAAACTTTCAATTTGCACCCCCCTCAACCTTTAAATTTATTTTTCCAACCCATTTTGGCGCCCTCTAAGGTCGGCGCCCGGGGACATATGTACCCCCCCCCCCCCGCCCCCCACCCCTCGCTACGTTATTGATTTTGTTAT